CTAAACAGTCATTTCGATGTCACTCTGTCGCAGGCGGGACGTCGAGACATCTTTAAGGCTTCGGGAACCCATCGATTTTCTATGAATGGTACAATGAGCTCTTAATGTGAACTAGAATGAGATGCTAGCGGATGTTGGCGTGAGGTACAGGTGTCATTTAGATAGAGGGATGCATTCTCGCCGCGGAAATCTTGATAAAGCGCCGTCGACAGGCCCGCGCCACAAGCGTATCTCACGGACTCAAAATTCCTCGCCTCTTGACAAGCGATGTTCGGAAGGCGGGGAAGGAGGGGGGGCGGGGCCGGGGATGAGGGGGGGGGAGAGAGATAACTGCGGACTCGGATGTGTTGCATTTGACGGCCAAAGACACGCCGCCCGTGCCAATAATCAGCCAATGATTCGTCGAGGGAATTACTGATTGTCAGCGTGGTCGTTGCTTGTCGCGAATGCCAATGGCGATGGCGCAGGGAACAGATATGCTTACGTAAATGCTTGCCAATACGTACATACGACACGCGCCTACACAGGGTGTGGGTGCCTGTGGGTGTCATATGTACTTATCGACATGCATTCATGCAACTAGGACTGACAGAAAACGCAAACGCACACACCTGTGTGTGCGTGTGAATGCGTGTATATATAGATGTATATATGAAGACATTCCCTGTCTCTTTCTTCCCCTTTGGTCTTCCGCCTTCCCCTAATATGGTTAGAATATGTCCCTAACATCACAAAATTCACATTCTCCGCCCCTGTTGCTTCCTCCTTGATCTTGTCTATATATCCCATTCCTCATTATTCTCAACATTCTCGTGTCTGGCAGCCCTTGATTTTTCCTCTTTTCTTCTTAACGTTCACATCGCCAATTTACTTTCTTGTTGATTGCCTGATGGAATTGAGCTCCAGGTAATGCCTTATCTTCAAACTTGTTTCTCATTCATTATTCTAATCCTCCGTTATTGTCGATTTTAGATATTTGAACTAATCCAATATTGATTATTATTATTAGTACTACTATTATCATTATTGTCATTATTATTATTATTATTATCATTATTATGATTATTATTATTATTATTATTATTATTATTATTATTATTATCATCATTATCATCACTATCATTATTAGGCATCATTGCTACCTCCGCCGTTGCCCATTTTTGATATCCTAACTAATCCAATCCTTTTAGCCTCGTACGAAACTCTGCGTTCTGATCTCTCTGGAACACGCGCTCGGTTTTCATTCGACTGTTTAATAATCTCTCTAACTCCCTCTCTGTTGGCTGCACAGGATGATCTCACGGAAAAAAAAACCCATGAAGACTCTTCTTCAAAACTCTTCAAGTTGTTTTTCTGTCCCACCAAATTTATCTTTGGTAATCTCTGTTCTCCTCTTTTGGGTTCCTACGTCTCTTTTAACCTCGCGGCTTGCCATTCTGTCATACGCTTTCTCGGGTCTATAAAATGTGCGGATTACTTTATTTTTTTATTATATTATTATAATTTTTTTCTGACCGTGCTGTACAACGCTTGCCACACACACAAACACACACAATATATATATATATATATATATATATATATATATATATATATATATATGTATATTATTATATATATATATATATATATATATATATATATATATAAATATATATATATACTTTTTTTCTGTCCCCGCCCCCACTCTCATTATTTGTCTGACAAAAAGAGAGACATGCAAAGACACATACATGCATATATATAATGCATATGCATACAAACATACACACACACACAACACATACCACACACACACACACACACACCACACACACACCACACACACACACACACACACACACACACACACACACACACACACACCACACACACACACACACACACACACACACAACACACACACACACACACACACACACACACACACACACACACACACACACACACACACACACACGCACACACACACACACACACACACACACACACACACACACACACACACACACACACACACACACACACACACACACACACACACACACACACACACACACACACACACGCACGCGCGCACGGGTGTATGTATGTGCGTATACATACAATCCAATACATCCACACGTAGAAAAGTGGGATAAAGACACGGGTTAGACGGGGAGGCAGAAAGGAGAACAAGAGCGCAAGAGGCAGAGGGTCTGGCCGCCCAGGCATTGAGGAAGGACCCGGGGGACGCTCTCCGGCCGAGGCTCCAGAGGCCGTCTCGACACGCCGACGCAGCCGCTCTCCGTCAGGTGGCGCTACGTGGAGGGGCAGGTAGGTGGAGGGGTTAGGTGGAGGGGTTGGAGGGGTAGGTGGAGGGGTTAGGTGGAGGGGCAGGTGGTGGAGGGTTAGGTGGAGGGATTAGGTGGAGGGGGTAGGTAGGGGGAGGGGTTAGGTGGAGGGGTTAGGTGGAGGGGTTAGAGGAGGTGGAGGCAGGCAGGTGGAGGGAGCTAGGTGGAGGGGGGTGGAGAGGGGCAGGTGGAGGATTAGGTGGAGGGGTTAGGTGGAGGGGTTAGGTGGAGGGGCAGGTGGAGGGGTTAGGTGGAGGGGTTAGGTGGAGGGTGAGGGCAGGTGGGGGCAGGCTGGAGGTGGAGGGGAGGGGTTAGGTGGAGGGTTAGGTGGAGGGTTAGGTGGAGGGGTTAGGTGGAGGGGTTAGGTGTGGGGGCAGTGGAGGGGCAGGTGGAGGTGGAGGAGGTGGAGAGGTGGAGGGGCAGGTGGAGGGGGTGGAGGAGTTAGGTGGAGGGTTAGGTGGAGGGTTAGGTGGCAAGTGGAGGGGTTAGGTGGAGGGTTAGATGGAGGGGTGGGTGGAGGCAGGTGGCGCTAGGGGAGGGCAGGTGGAGGGGCAGGTGGAGGAGTTAGGTGGAGGGGTTAGGTGGAGGGTTAGTGGAGGGGTTTAGGTGGAGGGGGTTAGGTGGAGGGGTTAGGTGGAGGGTTAGGTGGAGGGGCAGGTGGAGGGAGGGTGGAGGGGTTAGGTGGAGGGGAGGTGGAGGGGGTGGTTGGAGGGTTAGGTGGAGGGGGTGGAGGGGGGTTAGGTGGAGGTTAGGTGGAGGTGGTTAGGTGGAGGGGTTAGGTGGAGGGGCAGGTGGAGGGTTAGGTGGAGGGGTTAGGTGGAGGGGGGAGGGTTAGCTGGAGGGGTTAGGTGGAGGGGTTAGGCAGGTGGAGGGGTTTGAGGGGTTAGGTTAGGGTTAGGTGGAGGGGCAGGTGGAGGGGCAGGTGGAGGGGTTAGGTGGAGGGGTTAGGTGGAGGGGGTGGAGGGGCAGGTGGAGGGGCAGGTGGAGCTAGGTGAGGGTGGAGGGTTAGGTGAGGGGTTAGGTGGAGGAGTTTAGGTGGAGGGGGTAAGTGGAGGGGTTAGGCGGAGGGTTAGGTGGAGGGTTAGGTGGAGGGGAGGTGGAGGGTGGAGGATTAGGTGGAGGGTTAGGTGGAGGGGTTAGGTGGAGGGGTGGAGCGAGGAGGTGGAGGGTGGTTGGAGGTTAGGAGGTCGCCGTGACGGAAAACATCCTCTCTCGCTCTCGCTCTCTCTCTCGCTCGATCTGTCTTTCTCGCTCGGTCTCTCTCTCTCTCTCTCTTTCTCTATCTATCTATCTATCTATCTATCTATCTAACAATCTATCCATCTCTCTCTCTCTCTCTCTCTCTCTCTCTCTCTCTTCTCTCTCTCTTCTCTCTCTCTCTTCTCTCTCTCTCTCTCTCTCTCTCTCTCTCTCTCTCTCTCTCTCTTTCATACATTTCCTCCTCAATTCCACCCGTTGAATATTCCTTCCCTGAAGACTTAGCAAATGTATAATTGTGGGAATTTGACATTTACGACGACACACACAGACAGACGCGGAGACAGATAAGCATGGCCGGTGAACGAGAGACGACGAGGGACACCAGCTGGCCCACTAGACACAGACAGACAGAAGGACAGATAGACAGACAGTCGGACACCGCCAAACAGAGAGGCCGCACGCTCGAGACAACCGTCTACCCGCCCGTCCGTCACGCCCGCTGTCCGCTTGACGGGCGGCGGTCAATATAGGAGGAGAGAGGAGGGAGAAGGCGTGTGAGGGAGTGGGTGGAGGAGGGACGAGAAGGAGGGCAAGAAGGAGGGGTTGGAAGACGGGAGAGTGAGAAGGACGGTGAGAGGGAGGGAGGGAAAATAAGAGGGTGAAAGGGAGGGAGGGAGGAGAAGGAGGGTGGAAAGACGGGGTGGTGGAAAGGAGGGAAGAGGAACCGGAGGGAAGTAGGGAGGGAAGGAGTGAGTGAAGAAGTGAGAGCTAGAGGAAAGGAGGGAAGGAGGGAGGGAGACATGGAGGAAGGAAAGGAAAGGGGTGGAGGGGAAGTGATTGGGGAGGGAAAGCGAGGGGATAGGGGGATAGAGAAGGGAGGAAGAGGGTGAAATGGAGGGGGAGGGGCAGGGGAAGGAACGAGGGGAGAATGCGAATGAGATGGAGAGGGGGGGGGTGGAGGGAGAATACAAGGGGGAAGGGAAGGTGTGAAGGGAGAAAGAGGGGGAGGTGGGGTGGGGGGGAGCATCGCCACGACGCCAAGACACACTGTTATCTCGCGTCTGATTTTAATTACCGAGTCAGTCAGCTTTGAGGAAGCGAGGGCGGGGGCAAGGGAGGGGGAGGGGGAGGGGGCGGCAGGGAGGGGAAAGAGGAAGGGGCGGGGAGGGGGGGGGTGAGGGAGGAGGAGTGCCTCTGTTATCTGTCCATCCAGGCATCCGTCGGCGGTCCGGCACTCGGGCAACCTGGCACCCTCGACGCCAGAAGGGGGGGGGGGGGGGGGGGGCGAGAGGACGGGGGAAGTCGAGGGGAGGGGGAGGGGGGTTCGGAATATGGACGAAGGGAAATTCGGAAGAAGAGAGACGAGGAGAGTTGAGGATTTTTAAAAGTGACGAAAAGAAAAATGAAAGTGAATAGAGTAGGCCATAGTAAAAATACGGTATGATCCACACACACGCACGCACGTACACACACACACACACACACACACACACACACACACACACACACACACACACACACACACACACACACACACACACACACATATATATATATATATATATATATATATATATATATATATATATATATATATATATATATATATATATATTATATATATATATATATATATATATATATATGTGTGTGTGTGTGTGTGTGTGTGTGTGTGTGTGTGTGTATATATATAATATATATATATATATATATATATATATATATATATATAATATATATATATATATATATATATATATATATATATATATATATATATATATATATATATATGCGTGTACGTGTGTGAATGTGTGTGTATACATTCACACAATACTGGGGTGTAAGAGAGATTGAGAGAGAGAGAGAGAGAGAGAGAGAGAGAGAGAGAGAGAGAGAGAGAGAGAGAGAGAGAAGAGAGAGAGAGAGAGAGAGAGAGAGAGAGAGAGAGAGAGAGAGAGAGAGAGAGAGAGAGAGAGAGAGAGAGAGAGGGAGAGGGAGGGGAAGAGGGAGAGGGAGAGGGAGAGGGAGAGGAGAGAGAGAGAGAGAGAGAGAGAGAGAGAGAGAGAGAGAGAGAAGAGAGAGAGAGAGAGAGAGAGAGGGAGAAGAGAGAGAGAGGAGGAGAGAGAGAGAGAGAGAGAGAGAGAGAGAGAGAGAGAGAGAGAGAGAGAGGAGAGAGGAAGAGAGAGAGAGAGAGACCCACACACACACACACACACACACACACACCACACACACACCACACACACACAACACACACACACACGCACACAGCACACACACACACACACACACAACACACGAGAGAGGACGAGAGAAGGAGAGAGAGCACGTGGTTATGCAATGTTGCAGGTACAGTCAGCTTATCATCCCATCAGGCAATTTCCTGCTCGCGGACCAGGCGTCGATAAGCAACATGAGGTAGATTAAAGACTTTAGTGAAAAGATAGTGTAATGGATGAAAGAGGGAGAGAAAGGGGGAGAGAAGGGGGGAGAGGGAGAGAAGGAGGGAGGGAGAGGGAGAGGGAGATGAAGGGAGGGAGGGAGAGGAAAAGGGAGATGAAGGGAAGGAGGGAAGGAAGGAAGGGAGGGAGGGAGAGGGAGAGGGTGAAACGGAGAGGAGAGTTAAGAAGCAAGGAAGGGAGGAAATGAGGGAAAGAGGAAGGGAGGGAGAGAGAGAGAGAGACAGTAGAATGATAATGAGAAGGAAAACCAAGAAAGAAAAAAAAAAAAAAAAAGAAAAAAGAGAAAAGGGCCTCGACCCGGAGCGCCCTAGCATCCCCTAGCACTCGCTGGAGCCCAATCCCAGGACAGACAAGGAAATCCCCCGACAGACAAGGAAACACAGGAAATCCGAGACAAGGAAACCCCCCGAAGACAAGGAAATCCCCAGACAAGGAAACCCCCGACAGACAAGGAATCCCCCGACAGACATCCCCCGACAGACAAGGAATCCCCCGACAGACAAGGAAATCCCCCGACAGACAAGGAATCCCGACAGACAAGGAAATCCCCCGACAGACAAGGAAATCCCCCGACACACAGACAAGGAAATCCCCGACAGATCCCCGACAGACAAGGAAACCCCCGACAGACAAGGAAATCCCCCGAGACAGACAAGGAAACCCCGACAGACAAGGAAATCCCCCGACAGACAAGGAAATCCCCCGACAGACAAGGAAATCCCCCGACAGACAAGGACAGACAAGAAATCCCCCGACAGACAAGGAAATCCCCGACAGACAAGGAAATCCCGACAGACAAGGAATCCCCCGACAGACAAGGAAATCCCCGACAAGAAATCCCCGACAGACAAGGAAATCCCCCGACGACAAGGAAATCCCGACACAAGGAAATCCCCCGACAGACAAGGAAATCCCCGACAGACCCCCCGACAGACAAGGAAATGACAGACAAGGAAATCCCCCGACAGACAGGAAACCCCCGACAAGGAATACAGACAAGGAACCCCCCGACAGACAAGGAATCCCCGACAGACAAGGAAATCCCCGACAGACAAGGAAATCCCCCGACAGACAAGGAAACCCCCCGACAGACAAGGAAATCCCCCGACAGACAAGGAAATCCCCCGACAGACAAGGAAATCCCCCGACAGACAAGGAAACCCCCGACAGACAGGAAACCCCCGACAGACACAGGGAAATTCCCCGACAGACAAGGAAATCACCAAGGAAACAGACAAGGAAATCCCCGAGACAAGGAAACACAGACAAGGACAAGGGACAGACCCCCGACAGACAGATACAGACAAGGAAATCCCCGCTCTCCCGACAGACACAGACAAGGAAATCTCTCCCCGACAGACAAGGAAATCCCCCGACAAACAAGGAAATCCCGACAGGGAAACCCCGACAGCAGCAGTGTCTCACCTGAGCGGGTCGAGGGCGGTGGGCAGATAAGGGAAGCTGTAGGGATATCCGTCCTTCTTCAGCGTCTTGGGCTTCCT